TAATAGTAATAGTTGTATATCTTTATAGGGTACATGTGATGTTTTCATACAGACATGAAATGTAAATTAATCAAATCAGGGTAATTGGGCAATCCATCACACCTCAAGTATTTAACATTTCTTTGTGTTAGGAACATTCCAATTCTACTCTTCTAGTCATTTTAAAGTATACCCTAACTTGTTGATTATAGCTAAATATTAAAAACAATCGATCTCATGTAGACAGAGAGTAAAATGATGGTTAGCAGAGGCTGGGAAAAATAGCGGGGAGCGGGGGATAAAGTAGGAATGGTTAATGGATGCAAAAATATAGCTAAATAATTAGATAGAATGAATAATATTTGATAGCACAAATCACCTTGCCATCTTTAACAAGTGTCATGAATATTTTTTAACATAATTATTACATTTAATATGTAATAAGACTAGTATTGTCATACCATTGAATTTTAAAAAATATATATCTCTCAGTGCACTTATCTCTATCATAACATATGGGGTATAATTTAAGAATTTTATTATGAGGTGCTATGAAATGATCACATGTCTCGCATGTCACTGTATCAGATTTAGCAAACTCCGTGTTTCGATTCCTTTAAAAATCCACAAACATTTTTAGTAAGAATAGAAAGTATAATAAAGCAACCCTTCTTCTTAGAAAGGATACCTCTGAAGTCATCATTAAGTGATTACCATATACGTAAGGCACTATAGGGCACTGTGAATCATGAGTTTATTGCAGCTGCTGAACTACCTGCATTGGGGCTAACATGGGAATCCCTCATTTTTCAGTATTAGTAACAGAGAGAAAGAGAGAGAGAGAGAGAGAGAGAGAGAGGGAGGGAGGGAGAGAGAGAGTCCCATAAAAGATGAGAGAAATGCACTGAGGTGAATAATTATGGAAATCACAAACACAAAAATTTCTGCTATCTCAGTAATTGAGTTGATTCAATCATGAAATCAAATATGCTTAGTACTTGACTTTAGTGCTTATTATAATATCCAGATGATTTTAGAGATAAGTAGGTAAATATGATTATTACCTTCCATTTCAGATCAAATCAAATTTAGAACAATGCAGCACTGCAGTGGTCATGATCACTAAAGAGTACCAAACTAATTTCACTAACAATATTTTCACTTAGAAATTGTCCATTCGACTTTATTATATATACCAATAACAAGAATTATGGTTAATAATTGTATCATTGATATTGTTAGTAGTTAATATTATAGTTATATAATAATTTCACTTGTGTTCCTTTGAGCCTTACAGAAATTCTTTGAGGTGGTTATTATTCTACTCACACTTTTGATGATCCAGAAAAAGTAAGATATTTGTTCAGATCTATTAATTATCTGTGTGTAAATGGGCAAGTTCAAATCCAAATATTCTAATCAACATCAAAAACATTATCATGGACACAGAAATTTTCGTCTCAACTTCTAGCATAGTAGCCATACCATTAAAAAAATTTTAATGTGAA